TCTTTTTCAAAAATAACATAAACTTGGCTCTTATACTGTATTTCTTTTCCTTAGCTCTCCTAAATTATTTTTTTTAATTTCCAGGTTATTTAGGTAGTCATTGGCAGACCCAGAGTTTAAAACTAGGCTCCCAACACCAAGACCTTTCCATCAGGACACTCTGCCTCATTTTGTTTGTTCATTTCATTCATTCATTAAACTAATGTATATCACCTTTCTCATCAGACCAGCACTCACTGAGGCCAGGAGGCCTGGAGGAAGCTTACTGCAGTAGTCAAGAAAGTCAGTAAAGCCATGATTCACAGGCTTGTGACAGAGACAGGGTGAAGGAGGAAAGTATGCATACACCGGGGCTTCTGTATTCAAGAATGACTATGATGTCTTCAGCCAACATTATGAACCAGGAGGAGGGGTTGGCAGAAAAACAGTATGTTCTATTGTGAGCATACCGAGTTGAGCTACCCATTTTGCACATATAAAGCTGCATAAAGGCAGAGTATCAGTGGTTAGGTGTGTGGTCTTCGGTGTCAACTATTGTTGGTCTTGAATCTGAACCACACTGCAGTATATAGTAGCTGCAAGCCTTTGGGCAACTTTACCTTTTAGTGTCCCAAGTTCTCTAATATAAAATAGGAATCATAATAGTTACTACCTCAGAGTCCTTGGGAGAATATAATTAAATAGTTGTTATAAATAGATAACATGATGTGTGGTACAGGATGAGTACTCAATAAATAGTGTTTTATTACTAATCACACCACTGATGACAATAATGTGACATTGGAATGGAAGCCATCTGAACTGAAAGTGGTTTTAGATATTGTTCATATATGATCAGTGACTGAAGGCATTATAATCAATGACACTGGAAAATGTATAGAGCAGAGATCATAACGCACACGCTTCAAGGCCAGGCAGTAAATGAGTGGAATGAATTAGTATAAGTATATCTGTGCCTTGTATGAATGGTGGGGATTCTGGGGGAAATTGAAAATACAGAGGCCAGAGGGGACTAGGGGCTGCACACTTGCAATTCTAGGACTCTGGGAGGCTGAGGCAGGAGGATTGTAAATTCCAGTCCAGCCTGGGCAATTAGACCCTGCACTGAAATAAAAATTTTTAAAAGGGTGGGGATGTAGCTCAGTGTGAAGGCCTTGGATTCAATCCCCAGTACCGAAAAAAGCAAAACAGCAACAACAAAAACACATAATATCCCTGAAGAAAGAAGTTACTTCTCTTCTTGTTTTGTTTTTTGTTTTCTAAATTGCCAGAAATTTCTTGGTTTAAATGCTGGCAACTAAATTCAATTTAACCACTAAAACACATAGATGACTATGGACTCTGATATAAAGAAAGAGAAGGAGTGACAACAGAGCTCTGAAGGACACTAGCACTGAAGGGGAGGCAGAGAAAGAAGGACAGTGAAATCCAAGAACAGGAAGGACCAGGAAAGGAAAGAGAAGACAAGAAAGGAGATGTCAGAGAAGCACTCCAGGCAGAAGAGAGTCACCAACCACATTGGAGGTAGCATAGGGATAGCTATGGCCAGAGTATGCCACACAAGCCTGTTAACAGTTGTGAGCACTCCCTGAGACAGCAGATGTAATTATCAGGAAGCACAGGGGAGATAACACTCAAAGACATCATCACAGCATTAGAAATAAGGCAAGAGGTCCCGGGAGACTGGAACAACACAAGGAAGAACTCTGTTTGTATCCATCTCTTAAACTGCGAAGAGGGGCTCTGAGGACTTCTAGAGAGGATCTTTGCAAAAACAAGATGGACATTGTCAGTTCAGTCATCCCCTGGACACAGCTCTGATGGCCAAAACTGGAGGCAAGTAAAACCTCTACGAACTGTGAGCTGAAATAAACCTTTCCTCCTTAAACTTTGGGTGTCTCAGCAATGAGAAAAATAACTAAGACAGAATCTGGTACCAGAGGAGTGAGGTTGTTGTTCTGACCATACCTAACCATGTGGTTCCGGAGCCTTTGGAACTAACTGGCTTGTGGGAAGTTTGGAAAGGTTTGGAGATGCTGGCTGAAGAAGTAGCCCTTGAATGCCTTAAGCTATACTTAATGGGAGATTCTGGTCAGAGCTAAGAAGACCAGAATGGTGGTAGAAATGCTGTTGATAAAGATCAGGCTCAGGGGGTTTCTGCTAGGAGAAAGGACTACATTGGCTGTTGGACTCCAGAACATGTGTGTTATGCCTTGGCAGCGTTTGTCTGCATTTTGCTCAGGTCCAGAGACTTTGCCAGAGACTGAGATTAATGGTGCCAACTGATTAATCCTGCAGAAGAAATTCCAATACAGTCTGTTTGAGGTGGTGACATGACTACAGCTGGGGGCTTTTAGCCACATCTGTGTCGAGAATCAAGAGCAAAGAGCTCAGGGGAATGATTTCAAACATTGTGAGTTTGGCCAGAAAGGAAGCTCCAGTAGAACTATGGACTGCAAAGAGGGAGCAGAGAAGAACTTGGTTGCTGAGAAGGAAGAGGATAATGGAAAAGATGGCCTAAGGACATCACAAGAAACAGCCTTTCCAAAACCCTCAGTGCTGCAAAGGTGAAAGAATTTGCTTTGAGAAGAGAGCACCAAGTTCCAGAATAACAACAGCTTGGGAATTTGTTCCTCAGGGTGGGCTCAGAGTGCTCAGCAATCCAGGCACTCAACCCCTTCAGTCAAGGGAGAAGGAAGGCTGGATACTGCTCCAGCTGCTGGTAGAGGTTGGTGTCGTCCACATGGTGCTGGTTTTCGGTGTGTGCAGAATGAAAGAGTTGTAGGGTCAGGAAGACTTTCACCTAGATTTCGGGAAGTGACCTGGGATGCCAGGCAGTGAGAGGGCAGTTTGTGAAGCTGTGAGTGTGAAGCTGAAGGTCCAAAGCAGGCCCCAGAAGGTTGGAGAAGCCAAGAACATGGATCATCTGAGGAAAGCTGCAGCGAGTGAGTAAAGCCAGTCCAAGAGAGAAGCTGTGGAAGCTACACCACCTGCCAGGTTGTAGGGACAGAAGCTCCCAAGCCCTTTGGAGTTCACATCTTGCCACAGACTGCCTCGGGTGTTGACATGCAACTACAGGACTTAGTGTTTGCCCTGCTGAATTTTGGGCACGCTTTGGTCCATTCTTTCTATCCCCTTATTTGGAATGGGAAAATGGGAATGTTTATCTTGTGCCATTGTATGTTGGAAGTGTTTAACTTTCTTTTCATTTGTACAAGGGGCTTCCAGCTAAGAATTTGCCTTAAATCTTAGAGACTTTAGACTTGAACTTCAGCAGTGCTGAAACTGTTAGGACTTTGGCAACTCCTGGAGCTGAACTAAATGCCTTTTGCATAAAAGGATGTGCATGAGTCTTTAGGGGTCATAGGAGTGGAATGTTGTGGCTTGTGTGTAGATGTCCCCCCTAAGCCTCATGAGGTCATAGGGTGGGGCTTTTTGGAGGTAGCTGTATCTGGAGTGTGTGGTGCTGGGATTAAGGGTGTGTGATTACTACATCAGTCCACTGATCGGTTCGGGATAGTTCTGGGTAGGTTAAATGTGCCCCACCTTGGCTGTGAGTGCCACCTGCCCTAAGGGTGGGTAGCCTAGATAGAATGTAAAGGCTAGAAAGAGAGCTGCTGTTGTTACTGCTTGTTGCTTGCTGCTGCTAGCTGCTTTGCTATCTCCTGCCTGCTTGCCATGAACTATTTCTCCTTGGCGATGCCACCCTACCTTGGAGCCAGCCAATTATGGACTGAAACCACTACGGACTGTGAGCTAAATAAATGCTTTCTCCTTTAACTTGAGTGTCAAGTAGTTTGTCTCAGCAACAAGAAAGTAACTAAACAAGTAGGAAACCAGAAAACTTGTCCCATCCTCCCCTCATCAGGAAATTACCTAATCAGAATACAGAGAAGCAAAGAACAAACAGTAACTCTAACACTCTACCCAGTGGTAAATTCTGAGATCTTTTATTTGTTTTCATGTAAATATTAATATTATTATTATTGGTATTATTAATGTAAATATTTATATTTCCTGAGAACCAGCAAAGCACTAAATATAGATATATGGCTTAAAATAGGAAACCTGCCCATTATGCTTAAAAATATTATGATTTGGATCAAGATTGGAATCTTTTAAGGGCCAGGGATTTAGCTCAGTGTTTTCACCGCCTGCTTCGCAAGCGCAAGGACCTGAGTTTGATCCCCGGTACCAAAAAAAAAACCAAAAAAGATTGGAATCTTTTAAGCATTCTCTAAATAGAAAGTCACTAAATAACAATTGTTAACTCCTGAAGAATTGTCGAGGAGGATGAAGGAAGATGTTTAACTTTTGTAAGGGTTTTTAAAAAATGTATATAGTAAAAGGGAAAGTTATCCCTGTTGACACATAGCAACCAGTGCATAAACTTTTACTATGTAAGAAATCAGGGTGCAGAAATACAAAGTTATTTGTCTAATGTCACTTGGCTTGTTAATGCCTGAGAGAAACTTAGAATTCTTAGCTTCTGACTTCTCACGTTTTCTTTCCATATGTCTCTTCCATGTACAAAGCATAGGTTAATTATCCCATTGAAGGATATGACTTACAGGGCCTGATACACAGAACACATCTATTTTGATGGGTGTAAGGCAGAGGAGTGAAGCTGGTGCACAGCAGCAAAGGCCCTGTGTGGTGGAAGGAAGCCAGCATGAGAAGAGCAGGCCAGAGGAAGCCCAAAGGAGCGGGCATCTGGGAGGAGGCACCATGGCATCAAAGCCAACAGCTCGCAGAACAAGGAGGCTTAGGCCTAACCTATACACTGCATCCCCACAAGAAATACAAATAAATACCAAACTTTTAAAAAGCAAATATAGCTAGGCTTGGGAATTTATGCTTACAATCCTAGCACTCTGGGAGGCTGAGACAAGAGGATCACAGGTTCAAGCCCAGCCTGGGCAACTTAGCAACTTAGGGAGACGCCTACCCCATCTTTTTTTAAAGGGCTGAGGATATAGCTCAGTATGAAAGGCTTGGGTTCAATCACCAGTACCAAAACTAAAGTAAATATACATTTTTAAATATTACCTATGATCATGAACATTTACTTTTCCAGGTATCATTCATTAAGTAACAGCAACTTTCCAAAACACAGTCAATAATGAAAAGTAAACTATACACAGAAACACACATACATAAATCTTCTGCAGAATTCACGAGAAGCGTTTAACCCAGTGCATGATCCACAGAAGGGCCTAAGTGTTTAGCTATAATCATAATTATATGAGTACCTTGGCTCCCAGTGAGAGCTTCATTACTCTCACCTTATACATACATTCTTTTACTTATATTTAGCTAGCTCCTTTTCACAACAGGTTGAAATGGAGAGGTGAGAATATAGTTGGAGATAGATGCTTAAGAGGAAATAGAAAACTATCAGAAAATAGATCCAAATGTAACTGAGACCATTTACTGTAGGGACACAGTCCTCTGTCTTCCTGGAGGCCCTAGAGATAATCATAGAGGTCAATCCCTTCAATGACATGGAATCATCTGGAAAGATTTTATGATATGTTGTACCCTCTAATTAAGATAGCCAGGAAACATTTGCTACAATTTAAAAAATATATATCAAACATTTACATTTGTAAAAATTTTGGCACAGAGAACTTATAAATCATCTGGAAATTTGACATAAAAGAGCAAATTTTTCCCCAGTGCTATATACACGATGCACTATCAAGTTAAGGGGGGCCATTTAAAGTAAATAAAAGGGGTCCTATTTCCTTGAAGGCTGGATATCGGATGATTGTCCTAATTTCTCTCTTTTTTTTTTTTTGATACTGGGGATCGAACTCAGGACCTCGCGCTTGTGAGGCAGGCGGCGGAACCACTGAGCTAATTCCCCAGGCCCATCCTTCTAATTTCAATGATCAATGTAAGAGCACATGTGGCATTATGGCATTTCTAGGCAGAGATCATTTTTTTCATAAGGTACCATCACTACTTAGTGCTCTTTGACATCAAATCACCTTTGATTATAGCATTTCTTCATTTATTTTGGATAGCCAGCAATGTGGTAGATGTGTACAAAGCATAGTGCTGAGTATGAATCTCAGCACAAGCCAGGGGATGAGACGCACCACTTTGCCTACTTGGGACAAAGAATAGGTTTTCCTCCCCAGGTTGTTAAAATCCATATTGACTTTTACCCTGAGAGTCCAGTTCATTGCTATATCATGTGATAAAGCTAACCCTCACAAATTATCTCCCATCCTCTATAAAAAAATCTTTCTTGATTTTCTTTATGTCACAGATTAGATTTTTCACGGTATCACATCCCCAGGATGGTTCTTTGAAGAGAAATTTCTATTAAGTATGTTTGGAAGCTGGGAAGGCAAAATGGTAAAGAAAAACACCTGTGTACACAATATTTCTTAGACAGTTATCTCAAGTCCTGCTTTTCACAAGATGATTTTCCTTTCAAACTCCCACCAAATGAAAGAAGTATTTAAGCAATATGCAAATAGTAACCAATTTAACCTTGGAGGGGCCTCTTTGGTTCCCTGGGGTTGGTAGGTACCACCTTTTGAGGATTCATAACCCTGTTCCTTGCTCCTCTTCACTTTGGCATTGCCACACACATTAGCTTTCTGGCAAATGGTAGTCAAGGGTCTTTCCAATGACATAAGGTTATTTTGACAATTGCCTGACCAATAGAAACAATGTGAATGAAAGAGGCCCTTGGTTTTTCATTCTCACAAAGGTTCCTAGTGGGGTCAAGGCAATCAGCAGTCATGGGGGATGAATTAGGTGACTTAGAAGATAATAGGATAAATAAGATTGATTGGTAGGTAAAATAATGTTTTAAATATCCCTGAGTGAGGGGGTGGAACAGGATGTGCTCTGCTCATGTCCATATGGCTGAGCCGGAAAGGCTCTTCCACTCACAAGGAAGACTGTGTCCTGTCCACCTGCAGCTTGGAGTTCATCCTGGTCCCTGGTTGGAAGTGTTGCTGTCAGATCCTCCTTAGATACAAAATCCACCAGGATTTTGCTGGATGAGATACAGTTCTCCACCATTCATCCTGAAGTCCTTGCATGAGGTATTCGGAGAGTTCATACTCAAGTAGACTTTGTCTTTGTAAGCCAAAGAGACCACTGTGGTGAAGTCCACCTGCAGGTCCTTTCTCAGGGGGACAGAGATGGGATTCCGATGCATCCGGTAATGAAGGCTAATGCTGACCTCCTCCTGGAAGTAGCCCTTCACAGAGATGAGATAAAACCCATCACAGTTGATGATGACTGAGTTGTTTTCTACCTTCATGATATGAGCATCGTTTGGGATGAGGATCAACTTCTCTTCTTCACATCCTAGAATGGGTAGGGTGAAAATTTGAAGAAAAAAAAATGAGCACAGCACTGGACAACAGCCTTCCCTACCTCTAGAGCCAGGTGAAGAGAAAGTGATACAGAAAGAGAGTTTGCAATGAGTGAAAGAAAACGAGCATTATGTTTCCTCCTATGGGTTGGAATCTGCTTTACCTGTGGAATGGAAGAAGGGGTAAAACTAATACCTGTGACCAGGAGAGTCTCAGGTAGAGCTGAGACTTGGAGCTGAGAAGTTACAATTGTCATATCAGACCTATGGTGGGAAAAGTACAACAGGGTTTTCCTAAGTTTTCAGAGCTGGGAGACATTGGCAATTTTGATGACTACTTTTTTGGTCAATGGGTGGACCACAGTAAAGTGTGGCAACAGTGCCCTCTGGCTTGATCCCACACACCACTTATTAGCTTGTCTCCAAGCTCTCTCTGCCTGACCAAGAAATGCACATTTTCCACATGCTCTGGGCATGACAGAATTTAGTACTAGCAGTTCCCTGAGCATAATGATGCAGAATCAAAGTGGGCTCAATCAGATGGAGATGGAAGAGTTCAAGGACACAGATTTGCTTCTCCCTTCTACCTCCTATTGCTAGTTTTCCCTGGAAGGTGACTTTGGAAGACTTACTATCACAGGAGGAATGAAAGGAGGAGGAGAAGAAAGAACAGCAGCAGCAGCTTTGTTAACTTTTTGCAGAGCCATTTCAAGTACAAGCCAAAAGGCCTAAATTTATTTTATTTCCATAGCCTCAATATCATATTGAATGGCCCACTAACTACCTCGGCTCACTTGTTTTGGATTATACCTCTTGGTAATGGGAAAGAATAGATCCCCACTGCTAGCTGCATTCAGCAATTCTTGCTTTGTACCAGGCCCAGAAGGCATATTTTAAACTGAAAATAAGCACCATTTATGGAAGGCAAAAGGTACTTTCCTTTAGGCTCAGAGAACTTAACTAATTAAGTAAATATATAGAACCCATTGGTGTTGGATATAATCACAGACTAAAGGATGCTCTCATAATAGTCAAAGTATCTTTTCCCTCCATATCTAGAGCTTCCCTCAGTTCTTATTAAGGTATAATCTTGTCCTAGAAGAGAATTAGCAGATTATGTCTCTTTATAGCCAGACAGACTTGTAGAAAATAAATCTTTAGTGTCCTTAGCTGAAAAAAATAAGAATTCCTACTCAGAACTCCTGGGGGAATTAAGTGAGACACATAAAGAACAGAGACAAGCATATGATTTTGTGACTAATCCCTCCTCTTCATTATGAGTATCTTTTCATATTCAGGCTCTGACAATTCTAGATGTAATGCTACCCTAAGGAAGAGGGCAGATCTTGTGTTCTGGAGGAATCTAAGAGACTAAAGAAAACAGATATTTTTAAAAATATGAATCAACTAAACTTTTGATGATACTTACCAGTAAGTAGTATGCTAATACTTTGAATTGGAGGATGCTGCACCTGAGGGAAGAAAAGAATATTTTTTTTAAAATGACTAAATGGAATTGGTAAGTCATAATCAATGACGCAGAAATACAGTGGCCTGTGAAGGAAAAGATTTGGCTTTTTCTGTGAGGACTAAACCCAGAATTCCTGCCTGACTCTGTTTTTCTGTAGCATCTTTTAAAATAAGTGAAGATTATGCTGCTCTTTTATGTAAGCATCTGAGATCAGTCATTATTTCTGTCAACTCTTCTTTGGTGTATTGTTTGGTTCACTGAGTCCCAGATTCCCACTTAGGTAACAGTGCACTCAATAGTCTTTGGGTTAAGAAACCTATTCACAGAGATTCCCTCATGGAAGAGTCTATGACCAATCACTCTGTGATGGCCACAGGCTTCCACAACACACTCTAAGAAGGTTCTGGAAACCTCCTGCATCCTTCTGCCACTGTCACACAGGAGGAAGTGCATCTTATTTTCAGGGGACACAGGCAATTCAGTAGCTCTTTATTTTTCTTTTTTTAGCACATCAGATCCCTCCATTCTTCTCTTCAACAGCTTGAAAAACCTAACTTGAACCAATTCAGTACTCAAAAGCAAAACGAGAAAACCATGAAGAGAGGAATCATGGGAGATAGATTGTCCACAGTAATTTGGTTAAAAAGAAAATGAAGCTCAATATGGAGCAAAAAGGTCTATTAAGTGAAAATAACAAGGGATGGAATATAAAGTATATTGCCATGTTTGCTTAAACACACACTTCTATGGACATTGAATACATCTGAAAGAGTTGCAAACATTTCTCAGGAGAAAAGAACTGGAATCCTGAGATCGGGAGTAAAAAAGTGATGCTTATTTTTCCTTAAGTGATTTACTTATTTTTTTCTTTCTGGTACCATGTGGTTGTATTCCCTACTAAAAAAGGAAATAGGACCAAAAAAAAGTCTATTGTGCCTGCCAAGAACAACAGCTCTACCCACAAGGTTATTTTTGGCAGGAGGTCCTGATCAAAGGTGTGGGGAGAGATTTGTTTTCATGCCCTAGGCAGTGGAATTCCTGCTTCCCACTCTGCTGGCAGACTTGTAACCTCAGTCAAGCGAATGACACTGGGGACTCCCCACACAGATGAGGAACCCCCTCCTTGCCTTACAATCATAGGCCCTACCAAGCTGAAACCAGGAAGCAGTGTAGGAAGAAGGGAGAGCTCTTCTGAGCCCTGCCAGTGGCTGGGCCTCAGGAAAAACATCAGTACAATGTGCTGAGCATGTGAATAGTGTTAACTTGGGTCCAAATGGGGGTCTTTGGTTCCCTCCCCCCGTGTAGCATTTGCAGAGACTGAATGATTGTCATTTGTACTTAAGGCAGTGCTCTGAAAAGACTTCTCAAGAGTTTATTACTGCACCACCACCACCACAATAATCCTCAGGTGAATAGTTGCCCCCACTGTTCTCAAACCGGGCGGTGCCACCTATTGGAGTCACAAGTCATTTGCAAAGTAGCACAAAGCACAGGGCTTGGTGTGCAGCACTTGGATTCTGATACCAAGCAGGTACTTGGGCAAGTTTCATAAACACTCTATATACCCGTTTATCTTCTTTGAAAACCATTAAAAGATCATGGTCATCCCTTCCAGCACTAACTTCCCATGACTTAGATTTTAAAAGTTGCAACTCTAAGTGTATTTAATAAAAGAGAAAAAAGACATGAAGCATCCACATTTACAAATTTACTAATCTTTCTGATCTTAATGCCTTTGTGATTTGATTATTTGGGGTAACTTTGCAGAATTCTCTGAAAGATTCCTGCAAATCAAAGAAACTTCCCAGGTTTCTGAAATAACCTCTCCTCTTGGTAGTGACCAAGAGGACATCCCCCGGCTCTGAGCAGCTAGGAAGGCACATGGGATTCCCTCCCTCGGGTTGATCTACTGTACTCCAGACTTGGAACATGAAAGAATGCAAAAGAAATTGTCTTCTAGCTGAACATTGTATTTTACAGATGAAGAAATTAAGGCCCACGGAAGTGAAAAGATTGACTCTTGCCCTCCAATCCTAGACAATTTGTATTATATCACCCGAGTGGATGTTTTTCTTCCTATGTAACTATGAAGTGAGAAGAAATTACTGTAAAGATTGAGTTAATCTCCCATTCTCTGTGACCTTGTTTCTACTTCAGTACCAACCATAAGGAAGAGAAGTTGCCACACAACAGATTGGCAATGACTTCATCATAAAAGGATGTAGGGAAAACTTAGAGCCCAGGCTTCCCCTCCCCTCCCCTCCCCCACCCCATCCAATTTCAGTCCTGCCATAAGTGGACTAAAACAAAATGAAACACAACCACGTACCCATTCAGCAAGTATGGACTATTTGACCAACCGACTGAATAATGGCTATGTCATGTATATCTAGAGGCAGATGATGATATAGCAGGAAGGTCTGTCAGCCCAGTGGTGCTTAAATGCTAATGTGCATTAGAATCATCTGTGAAATTTGTCACACAAAAAAAGTCCAGATCTCCAGCTTATTCACAAAGATTCTGGTCCAAAATCTCTGGGTGGATCCAGGAATAGACATTTTTACAAGGTTCAAAATTTGAAAATCATTGCACTAAATATAAACTTCTAAAGATCTAAAGTGTAGAGACAGTATTTTTAACCATGCCCTGGAGGGCGGGGAGATGGACAAGCCTGTCCCCAAGCTAGTACTCATTAAATGTTTGCTCTACTGTAAGTATTATTCAGTAGTTGAAGAATAATGTTATTATTATATAACTTGGCTGTTTGGGTAGAAACAGGATCAACAATTACTAAGTACTGCCATGTGGTAGGCATTACCCTCAACTCTGGGAACAAAAAGGATAGAACGTATTATCTTTGTTTTTGGCAAACTTGTATTCTGGGAAGAAAAATAGTCCCTCTACAAAAAACTTTCAATAAATACCAATATACAACACAAGGTGTTAAATTCCAGGAAATGGAAAGAAAAATCATCTCAGCCTTTGATTGTTTAAGGAGAAAGAGCCCAGACTTAGGGTTCTTGAAAAGGGAGAAGAGAAAAAATTCAGTTAAGCCAGAGACAATCAATGATTAGCTGAAGGAAAGGTCTGCAAATTAGGCCATTTTTGTGTATTCAAGAAAAAGAATAAAAATTATTGATAGCTTACAACATGCTGAGTACTTCAGTAATCTCATTCATTTGCTGTTCAAAATAACTCCTATGTTTTACAGATAGGAAAATGAGCATCAGTGCCGCTAAGAACGTGCGGAGGAATAAGAGGCATCACCTTGAATTCTGTTGCATTCCAGGTTCATGATGATATCCCTTTTCTTTCTCCTATCTTACCTCAAGCATAAAAAATACATAGGAAGGTGTTTATCTGGGAGTCTAACATTAATTTGAACTACTTTCATCATGAACACTGAATGAGATGACTTAAAAATCTTTGTATATCCAAAATACTCAGATATTTTTCAAAATACCCAGAAGTTTTCCTCCAAAAAGTGTTGTCTGTGTAGTGCAGGTTGCAAAAATCATTAGCTGGGCTCTAACTAGGTGTCACTGTCCTGGCAAGGAGCAGCAGCCATGGGCGAGCACAAAGCAGACTGCAAGCAGGTGCAAAGGAGAGGCAAAATCAAATCCTTCCCTGGTTTCTCACTGCCTTGAGTGCTGGGCTGTTTAAGAACATAGATGAAAGAGTCTGATGTCTGGTATTTACCTGACGCCTTTACCATGTTCCCAAGAAACTAGTACTCGTTTCAAGAGCTCATCTTTAGAGAGTGTGAGCCTCTGATTCTGACTCAGTCGGATGTGGCATGGGCTGTTAACTTTATATTCATTTGGCATTTGTCTTCTACACAGGTGTCTGTGACAGGAGCCATGGTATTCATCAAATACGAAACCAGCACATGGGCTCTGCATTCACTATATGGACCCTGAGGTTCCTCACTCGATACCAGGCCACAGTGTCAAGGTCCTGGGGGTGAGTTGGGGTGAGGTGTGAGTCAGCAGAGGATAATGGAGAAACAGATCTGAGATGGGGACTTGCTGGCTCACCATGCCACCCGCACCAGGATAGAACTGTTTAGCTCCCCACCTTGGGCTCATGTCTATCAGAGGGGACCCAAGAGATCGTTAAAACACAACCTCACAAGCTCTCAGAGCTTCAGAAGAGGAAAATGGACTTTTCTACACCCACCCACTGGAGAGGGCAGACTTTGATCTTAGAGCAGTGATGGCAAAACTTTTAGAGACCAAGTGCCCAAACTGCAACCCAAAACCCGCTTACTTATGGCAAAGTGCCACGCTGCAATGAAACCGGAGTGTCCGGCTGCTGGGCTGATGCTAAACTTGCCTCTCATGCTGACAGAGAGGACTCTGCATGCCCACTGCAGCACATATGCCTTAGGTTGGCCACCACTGCCCTAGAGAATTTAGTGTGTAGTACATGGCAACCACCCTGTTACAAAGGAATGAGTCTTTACTTCTGAACAAGGAAATTCAGAACATGGCCCAGGGAAAGAAACGGGAAGAATGGGCCATGGGTTCTTGGGTCAAGGAATCTTCCACCCTCAAACCATTTGTGTGGCTTTGAAATTCTGGTTGGAGAATGAGCTGTGGACATAGAGAAAAGGCATTGTAGGTGTCACCCAGGATATTTTCTTCCTCTATGCCCATGCTGACCACTGCTGTCACCCCCTTTCCTCTGCACCTTCTCTCTTATCTTCCACCTTCACCCCCACAACACAACCTGTGTGATATTTCCAATAAGCCCCCTCCAACCCTGTCCATCCCTCTTATCAAAGCTACCTATAAAGGCTGTTTTGAGTCTCCCCTCAGAGAGGCATCGCTCCTCTTTGTCTCAGAGGACATGAACTGTGATTTCCTTGTCCTTAATACTTTGCAATTGATGGTTTCTGAGAGTAATCTCAAATATTCAGGCAAACAACAAGGCATCCATTGCGGCATGAATACACCTGCAAAACCCACAAAAATATAGGGAAGATTTTCTTCTCTTCTC